CGGAATATTATTGAAAACAATCTAGATACTGGTGAATATTGGATCTTCTTTAATGGACTTGATAATTCGTTGGATGGATTCAGTAGGTGGTGAGTCCTATTGGAATGATGATAATGAGAATAGAGATTGAAATAATAGATTAGCATGTCGCCAACCTCGAAATTTTGGTCCTGACAACTATGTTTGTTAAAGTGTTTAATATAAGTCAGATTAGTTTTAATAAGAATAGCATACTAAACTTGTCACTTCATTTATGGTGTAAATGTCATTGCAGGCTTGCCTTTGTTAGGCAGGAGGATCTCTTTTTCTCACAATTGACTGTTCGAGAAACGCTCTCTCTTGCTGCTGAACTTCAGCTGCAGGACATATCGTCAGTGGAAGAGAGAGATGAGTATGTGAACAATCTTCTGTTCAAACTTGGCCTGGTAAGCATGTCTTAGATATCTTCATGTTTCACTATAAGTAACCATTTTTTTTTTTTAAATTTAAGAACTCACTTGGAGTTATAGCTGTTGATTTTGGCTGAATACTTGACACCACTGGTATTCAGTTAATATTCACATATATTTTTTTATTGATTCAGGAAACAGTTGAATTTATATGTTTTTTTTTATGCATTCTGTGTGCTACTTATGAAAAGGTCAGTTGTGCTGATTCGCGTGTTGGGGATGCCAAAGTCCGCGGGATCAGTGGTGGTGAAAAGAAAAGGTTGTCACTGGCATTTGAGCTGATTGCTAGCCCGTCTGTCATCTTTGCTGATGAACCTACGACAGGCATGGTTATATCTGCTTCCACAACTTCCTTTATAACTTGGCACTGCAAATATAAAATGATGGATAAAAGCAAAAATTGGAGTTCCTTTTGACGGCAAATATATTGCCATTTGATTGGAGTAATCGCAACTCCTTTTTTTACTTACCCATTCAACTAGTTGAAATTAATTAGGATTATTTCTTCTCATCACAATGCATTATTACATCTATGATGCCATTCAACCAATTCAGTATGCGACTATGCGTAGCTTTTTGGGGATACAATTCACCTGTTCATAATGGCCAGTTGGCTTGGCCCATTTGATTTTCTGCCCAATGTTTTATTTAGCAAGAGCACCATACCTTCTATTGGCAAGATTAGGACTGTGAACACATATAGCTCACTTCAGTTACAGAGGCATTAAAACTTAGTATTCTTTGGCCCAGTTATGAGATTAACTGCAGAGAACATCTGATTTTGCCTGACGTTTATGCCATGTTTGCTAATGCAGATTTGCATAATATGGATACGGAATTAGCACCATGTTTCTTATTTAATAGCAGTAGTTTCATGCAGTGTTATCAAATGACGGCGCCATTGCGGTTAGTCGTGGCGATTTTTGACAATCCGCCATCCTAAATTTGTGAAGGATGGCGGTTATGGCGGATTTTTGGCAAACCGCCATTAATAACACTGGTTTCATGCTTCTTCCATTTTCCGCAGAATTGATTGTTAAAGATCCAGTTAGCTATTCAAATTAAATGTTTTATTGACCTTTTCTCTTTTGAGTATCAAAGTCTGTTGGCAAAGATGCTTAAATTATGCTTAAATATAACATCTACTAAATATGGTCATGCACCATATGCTTGAATTCTTCTCCTAATACTCCTCTATACTTCAATAAAAGCCCTTTCTCTTCATTTTTCTTTCAATCATTGTTGTTGGTCCCTCCACTCGCAATCTTTTTCCTCTCTTATCTTCCATATAGACTTCCGCTTATTTATAGGGATATTGTGAAGTATATTGTACAATTCCTCTTTTGTTGTTAATTAGTTTAATGATGCTCTCAGGACTTGATGCCTTCCAGGCTGAGAAAGTGATGGAAACACTAAGGCAACTTGCACAGGATGGACACACAGTCATCTGCTCTATACACCAACCTAGAGGATCAGTTTATGCTAAATTTGACGACATTTTGTTGCTCACAGAGGGTTCGCTTGTTTATGGTGGTCCTGCACGTGATGAATCACTAGCGTACTTCTCAAAATTCGGGTTTGTTAACCTATTCTCTTGACCCAGATGTTATTTCTTAAAGCACTATTTATGTGAGAACCTACTATGTAAGAACCTTCTCACCCATGGAGATGGGCATAAGTTACTGAAACCATCATTATTGTTTGTACACAATCTATTTGTCTGTATATGTGTTTGTGTTTGTGTGTTTTTTTTTCCCTTTCTTTTTCTCCCTTTACCATTACTGCATTTTCTTAATGAGACTGACTGGAGAAATCTGATTTATTTATATGTGGAAGCTGATGACAAACTATATGGCGCTGATTCATGTCATAGACATTTGCATACTATGATTCTGATGCATTTATCTGCTCGATTGATATTTACAATCGGCAAAGATTACTATAATGTAGAATTACATGTGGAGGACGAAAATCTCGTTTAAAAGAATTTTTGATTGCTACTGAACTAATGAGAAGACACTCTTGATTTTATTATTTAGGAAAGAGTTTGCAATAGGTTTCAAGTATATTATACTGACATCATTATCGCTTACAGAATATAAACCATTTCTTGTGTTGATAAAATGTGCGCATCATTGTTGGGCTGTCTGACGTATGACTGTAAAAATGCCCTTTTCTTTTTTATTTTAAATCACCTACCCTTTTAGCTTGTGGGTAATTGCAAACAATCCAATAAGCAATTTGATTGTAGATTTTGCGGGATTGTGCTCCTAACTATGTTAAGCATTGCAACTAAAATGACAGGTATATTTGCCCTGATCATGTGAATCCTGCAGAGTTTTTGGCTGATCTCATTTCAGTGGATTATAGTTCCCCCGAGAGTGTCAGTGCTTCTCAGAAAAGGATCGATGGTCTCGTTGATTCATTTGCCGAGCAGATGTCATCAACTCTGTACGCAACGCCACTTACAGGGGTTGATCCTAAGAACAACATGAACTTAAAGAATAAAATAATTGCCAAAAAAAAAGCTGGTTGGTGGAGGCAATTCTGCTTACTCCTTAGACGCGCTTGGATGCAGGTAAAAAACAATGACAGTCTAGTAATGATTATTACTTAAATAATTTGGATGTGTAAGATGAACTTTGCACCATATCCGGTGCTTTGAGTGGCTTATACAAATGAGATGAACAAATAACTCTGCCGCGTGAGACAGCAGAAAAATGGAATTGCAAATTTTGCATTTAATATAAAAAATATTGAGAATTAAATAGCAACTTGATCACTAGCAGGATTATTCAGCTGATAAACTTTCTAGATTTAGTCTGTGAAGTAAATACTTCTTGTTAGTGGATGGTCGCTCAAAATTAGTCATGTATTTGATGACTATTACTCAAGTCCTGTTGGCATAGGTTCACAGAGCATCAATGATTCTGATCATCATGGTTCTTGATTTTGTATGAGTACTTGTTTTAGCCTTTTTCTGAACGTGACGGTCTTTTTCGCCTCTTTTCCCTTTTGGTACCTGTCATTTGTCCGGAAGGCATCTCGTGATGGCCCAACAAATAAAATTCGAGCGAGGATGTCTATGGCATCAGCTCTCATATTTGGTTCTGTCTTCTGGAGGATGGGAAGGTCTCAGACGTCGATACAAGATAGGCTGGGATTGCTTCAGGTGTGTAAGGCTTTGGCCAATTTGGGATCATTGTTGCTTTTATTTGCTACTGACAAATATCAATATGCTTAAGACCTAAGTTGGATCTCTCACGATGATGCTCGCATGCATGCATGTTCGTGATGTGGTAAAGATTAACTAACATGTATAACTTAACACCTCTTCTTCCTTTTCCGTTATCTCTGGATTCTTAACTGTTGAATGAACAATGTATTGTAAATTAATGTATTATGGAACTTCTATGTATCCCATCCTTCTGCATCTGGATCCAGTGGGTACCACCATCTAATTTCATGCTATAAATTTGAGTTTGTTGACTTAGATCATTCTTAAATCCCCAAAGATGCTATAACCTCTTTATAAGGGTTTCTTTAAGAGTTTGATTACTTTATTCTTTTAATTGCTACAATGAACACTAATTAAGCTTCATATTATAATCAAGAGTATGATTACTTTATTCTTTTAATTGCTATAATGAACACTAATTAAGCTTCATAAATCAATTACCTTTTAAATGGGCTGACCCAAGTGCTGATTGGCTTATGTACATCTTCAGTATATAGGGACATCAAATGTGCTGTTCATGAACCTATTCATATATTCGAGTCAGTTCTTACGTAATGTTTAAGAGAACAGTGTAGACATATGAGAACCCTTGATAAGGTCTATGATTATCTACTCATGTCTTGCCTTGACTTATTTTTCTTCTTGTTTCAGGTTGCTGCTATAAACACTGCAATGGCGGCGCTCACAAAGACAGTGGGTGTATTTCCCAAGGAACGTGCTATTGTGGATCGGGAGCGAGCCAAAGGGTCCTATCAATTAGGGCCATATCTACTTTCGAAATTATTGGCAGAGATCCCAGTCGGAGCAGCTTTCCCATTGCTCTTTGGTACTATTTTGTATCCCATGACCCGTCTTCATCCTACTATGTCTAGGTGTGTTTATAACTCTAGAGTATTACTCATTTTTTTAAAGACTTTCATTTGCCACTTAAAGATTTAGATTTCTACTGGTCGGCTGATTACCTAGAACATTTTATCATTTACCTTCAAATGTCACTTATAGCAGTTTGTACGGGAAAAATACTTTATGAGAATTGTTTGTAATTTTGTTGAATCAATTAACTGTTCCCCTTAAATATTTTGTTGTAATTTTGTGTGCAAAGCTTGCTTGATTACTGGACTGGTCACATGACCTAAACAGAATTGATTAATTCAATTTGAAGATTCTTACTTATTAGATATACTGTTGAACCTGTTGATCGTTGATCAATGAAAACTGTACCTGAAGACTCAGCTGCCTTAAGTGAACTTGCCTCATCTGAGATTTTAATTTCAACATTTGTTTTTGGGGATTGAGGTGTGCGTAAAATTAATGAATCGAGAATAAATTTGTTAATCGTAATTACAACTTCTACCAAACTAAGCAGCTTTTCTCTCTAGATTCGGGAAGTTCTGTGGAATAGTGACCACCGAGTCCTTTGCGGCATCAGCTATGGGCCTAACAGTAGGGGCTATGGCCCCTACTACCGAAGCAGCTTTGGCCTTGGGCCCATCACTCATGACCGTTTTCATTGTATTTGGAGGCTACTATGTCAATGCAGAGAACACACCTATCATCTTCCGTTGGATTCCTCGTGTATCTCTCATCAGATGGTGCAATTTTTACTCATCGTTTATTTATTTATGCTCATATTCTCCTTCAGTTAGGCTTTATCGCTCTCACTTGCAGGGCATTCCAAGGGCTTTGCATCAATGAATTTTGCGGCCTCGAGTTTGATCATCAGAACTCATTCGACATTCAGACTGGTGAACAAGTGAGTAGTGAACTACGGACCATTAACGTATAAATTTACAAGTAGTTCTCCTGGATTATTTTGGTGAAATCAATGATTGTAAGCAATTTTTCTTATCTCATTGATTGCTGGCTTCTGATTTCATTGCTTTTCAAACTACAAGCAAAATTCGGCTTAGTTGCCAAAGAAAATGCCTCGTTGTTTTTCAAACCACAAGTGTCCATTTTAGTTTTTACGCATAACTGACTGATGAGGTGGATGTTTTGAGACAAGAAAATTCAAGTTGGTTTTCGTGATTTCGCAGGCGCTCGACCGACTCTCCTTTGGTGGCAGTCGAATTAGGGACACAGTCATAGCCCAAAGCCGAATACTACTATTTTGGTACTACACAACCTACCTCCTCCTCGAGAAAAACAAACCCAAGTACCAGCAACTCGAGCTGCCACCTAGCGAACAAATACAAACACCTCCGAACATCGAGCCACCCGAAAGTGAACCCAAGGAACAAAACGAGCCACCTGAGAGCAAACCCAAGGAACCAAATGAGCCACTACCCGTATCTCCCGAACCCGGGCAAGGTAAAGACCAGCCAAATCAATCTCCCCCTCCTCCCTCTGAAGCGCTTAATTTGTTTACCCTAGACGGTCTGTAAATTCCTTGGGCTGTTAAAAAAGACGATGTTAATATTAATATTAATACGGGCGTGTGCCCACTTGCTACCATTTTTATCTCGTACAGGTGCTTAAACACGGGGGAGACGGAGACACGTGCGTTAAGAAGGTATCGCACGAATTAGCGAGCTAGTTAATGAATGAACTATTTTAGGTGAAATAATATGATGTGATTTTGATGGCATTTGACGGCTGGTTAGATACTTTGGGAAGATTGTTGAAGGATTACAAAGTGATGGGTTGCCATGTTTATTGGAAGGATTACAAAGTCATGTATTATGCATATTTTTTTTTCCTATCATTAGATTAAAAGTACTACAAATCTCAACACGAATTCACAATAACGAACAAAATAATAACTCAGATCATAATGAGGCCTGAAATTGCAACCTTTATAGAGGAAACGGGCAGGGAATCGACTAACATCTTGGGTTCCAAGATTTTAAAACCCAATTCAGTATTAAAGTCATAGGCATAGGCTCTGCTCTAAAAGTCGGCCCTGTCTCCTGTTTGCATAAATCGGCTGAAAAAATTGGTCAGACGGTTAGGCGGCACCTAGGCGGGCTCGGTAGCTTTGCGACTCCTAGGTGCGCCTAGGTAGGCTCGGCGAAATTTTTCAATTTTTTTTTTTTAATTTTTCTAAATATGAATCATTATTTTGTTAATATGTTGTGATTATAATATACTAATAATATTATTTAAACTTAGATGTGTTGATTTATTATAAGTTGAAATAATTTTATTTTATAGATAGTGAAAATAAATAAAAATGAGGTATTTAATCTTGATTTCTAGGTTTCACTAGGCGCTCTAGGTGCTAGGCGTCGGTCGAGCACCTAGTGGGTGTCTAGAGACTTCAAAAACACTGGGAATAGGAAAGTGGTAAGGCTGTGCACTTCACTCCCACAACCCTTTCAACTTTCGTTTATTAAGACATAGGAACGATATAATGTATAATAACTCATATTATTCATATGGTTTTATTTTAATTGATATTGTGTTATTCAAATATCATATATATCCATTACTTTTTAATTTGTTTTTCTGTATTCATTCTATAATGAGATCTAACAACAATTCTTCTTTAGATGTGCTGTGCCTAGTTTGGAAGTAACCTGATCGTCGTAAAATCATATCAATCAAGTAAAATTTTAAAGTAACGTACAAGTAAAATAAATTTTGTCTTCTAGTTAACCATATATAAATCGATATGTAAAGTTAATTCCAAGATTCAAAATTATTGTTTCAAAATCAGACCGAACTGTCAGTCGCATCGGTTGAATCGAGAACCGATTCCGTAAACAATCTGGTTCTCTGGAATGAACCGAATGCCAACGAATCGGACAAACTTGGCCGGTCGGGTTGGATCGGATCGGTTGAACCGATCCAATTTAAAATAGATAAATAAATAAATTTCAATATTTTTTAAAAACTTTTTTAATATAAATAAAAGATACATATGTAAATATATTAATGGATATGTATATTTTTTTTGGTAAGCAGCCACGGTATCCGGAGCTATGCTCCGACTAATCCGTTGGTCGACCCGGGTCGCACACCTGACAGTGGTGGGTGAGTCTCCCAACATGAGTTTTCTGCATACACAAAGACTCGAATCCGATACCTTGGTTAGTGTAACATTTTTAAGTTGCTCAATCAGCAATTCTTTACATACTATAGCTTACGTTGTCCTTCACTCCTTTGTGGCAATGAAAGGGCCCAATCAAAAGCCTGAAATATGAAGTGATGACTGGTCAACGTTTCTGTTTATTTCCAAATCAGCAATTCTTTACATGTAACCTTTCGTAGTAAGTTACAATTCATCATATTTAGAAAGCTAAATGCATAACTTTCTTTTTATAGATATATATTGCCTATTGGGTAGCTTAGAGCTCTTGGGATAAGTGGATTTTGTGTTGATAATAGGATGCTATGTTTTTCACAATGGATAATAATATGAAGCAATAAGTGTGTATATAGATTTTTTTATTCACATAAATTAAATTGTGTGAATTGTTATGACCAAGAAATGTGAAAAATAAAATATTATTGAGTTTGAGGATGATTAAGCACTAATTTCAATTGAAAATCGAAGGTAATTGAAAGCACGTAAATAAAGATGAGAACTTTACGGGGCAAAAGAGAGATTAGGTCAATTGGAGACTCTATCACTCGAATAAACGCAAAGAACCAAGAGAAAATCATAATAGCTGAGTGATCCTAGGTGATTAAATCAAGCTTTCTAAACTAAATGACTACGCCTTAAACAAAGTCGCAACCTTTAAACAAGATAAGCACGAAACTAATTCCTAACACACATTGAAAAGCAATGAGAATCGAACTTCCCTCCATTCAACAAGCAAAATACCAAATTCACTTTGAAAAATATCATAAGAAAAACGGTCCCGCTATACTACCCGAGTCTCATGACAAAGTTGACTTACAAAATGACATGGCAATAATGATATAAAAAAATAAATTAAAATCTATAAAACAAAATTAATGAAACAATTTCTTTTCCCTGTGACCGTCATTTCACTTTCACTACCCTACTCACAATTCCTTTTCCCCAAATTAATGAAACAATTCATTTTCACTACCCTAATCTCTCTTCTACCCTACAAATCATCCAATATTTTGAAAGAAAGAGTAAAGTTCGACAATTTTCTTTCATTTACTCTTCATTTCATTTTTATTTTTATTTTTTTGTTTCTCTATTCTCAACTCACACACAAGATTGAAGGCGCACATTTTTTTTTAGGGTTCTGTGTTCAAGTGATTTGGATGTTAGTAACATTTTGGATGGTCCTGTCCCCAGGGGCAAGCCGCCACTCGGCCACTGATTGGTGATGTCGTGACTGTCCTATCCTACCCGAGCGGCCAGGCCGAGGTCCCGTCCACACTGAGGCAAAGCACGAGCGGAGGAACACGTCAGACAGCAGCCCGAATGAGCCCTGGCGCGGGCCCCACTTCGGTTCCCCTTCATCCGTTTGAAGGAACTAGTCCGACTTCAGGAGGATCAAAGAGACATAGAAGAATATCTCACTTTTTTGGGGTCCAGATGGGTGGCTTCGGGGTGCAGGTTGGGCTTAGATGAATATCACTTTTTTGGGGTACAAATATTAGAAGTGATATGGCTTGGTTTAGACATCAAGGCTTTCAAGAGTGTCTTTGGTTCATTTTGTGTGACTATGTTGTCCAGAATTTGAATGAATCTTTGAAGTCCCAACATTGCAGAGACATTAAATGAACCAAAACTATGGACGCAAATTGCAGATGCAACCCGAAATTTGGTTTTGAAGATTTCACACAAAATTAGTCAATTTGTGATGTTGTGTTAAATGCTGGAGGATTTCTTGATAGACACTTCAAGCATACCTGGTTTCTCAAAGGCCCCAGCCAATGAAGGAGATGCATGGAGGCTAACATCTGAAGATTTTTTTGTCATTAACTAATAGCAATATTGGATCATTCAAGAATGTCAATGGGATATCGTGGTCGTGTCGCAAACCGGGATGAGGATTTATTGCCAACTTCATTGTTGAACATCCATGTTGTGAAGTTTTTTTTCTAGAACTAGAAGTAAGAATGTGATTGAACTTAAAAATAGTCAGGATTATTATTTTTTTTCTTCCTACTTTTAGCTTTCTTGGCATGAAAGGAAATATTTTTAGTTTGTGGGAGGATTGGTTTTCGAATTATGTATCAGCGTATGGTTCTTCGTGCATTCAATCGTGCCTGTTTTTATTCATCTTCGACCATTGGTGAAGCTGCTATGCCATGAACTGATCTCTTTATGTTCGTTCATTTTTCTGAATTTCGGAGTAACGTTTACAACCTTTCTTGTAAACAACTCAAAAAATTGCACAAATCAAGAATCCAAATTTAACAACTTGGCCATGTGAACAATTTTTGTTCTTCTCTTCTCATTTGTATACGCTTCGCATTGCTTAACAGTCACTCAATTGTAAGGCAAACAGCAAGAACACATCAACATAAATGTCATCAACAAAGCTACATAAATACACAAAACACAAAGAAAAAATATCCAAACAACAAAAAACTACATTTTTATTTCTCATGTCTTGTCCCCATTTTGACATACAATTTACACACAAAATCAAAAATTAAAAATTATAAAAAATAATAATTAAAAAAAAAAAACTAAAGAGAAACAATCAATCATAACAACCTGAATTTCCAACAGTGCAAACAAACACAAATTAAACAATGAATTATTTTGCAATTCATACTTTAAAATGTATATCTATTTGTAATCAGGCACTCATCCTTAAAAAGAGGTACAAATAATATTCTTTTATCAGCAACCTATTTTGAATTTAACTTAATGTAAGTGCATGTTAATTGAAGTCCTGTTTATGAACTAAGTAAATTTACTTATAATCTAATACTAGAAGCTTAAACTACTTATAATCTAATACTTGAAGCTAAAGTAGTTGCAGATAATCATCAATACATATAACCATGGGGATAAAAGTCATAAATTTGTTAAAATAAAATTACACTTTCATATATACCACCAACTTCACATTTGTTTTCTCCCTTATCACTTGTCCTCCAACAAAACTTGTAACCAATCTATGGAACTGATTAAAATAAACTTGATTCGGTTGGAAAGAGTTCAAGTGCAACATTTGTGACGCTTTCGGGTTTGTGCGCCGGACCATTTTTATTTACTTGCCCTGAGCGTGCCTGAATATAAACCAAAAATATGAATTACTTAAAAGAAATTTAAAAATGATCATACAATTAAAATATACCTTTCCTTTCTTTGAGCTCACTTCCAATGGGCCCTTTTTCCGTTTTGTCCTAGGCACGCCTTTTCTCTTTGATGTTTTTGGATCTTTTATATTCCCATTTTCCATTTTCTGACGTGAGGTATGTTGTGAACTATTAATATCACTAGAATCATACTTCGTCAAAAGAAGTTCATTCTTTTTATTTTCTATCCAATCCTGGACTGAAATATATTTTTCTTCATCATCCGCTCTACAAATGACCGGCACATATTTTCATACCTTTTCTGTGCTGGAGTAATACACATACCATCATAG